ATCAATTAATCATGGCTAAGACGAACAAACGGTCAACATTCTTAATTAGTGTTGATGCATTCTCCTTTGCGCCCTCATCTGTCATGAAGACTGTTTAAAAATCTGAGTTATTAGTCTTTATTGAGAAGTGGATCTGGTTAATATCTCTAAGAATACAAATCATTCATCTATCCACAATACACTGGTACCTGATAATTCCTACCCCCTTTATAAGCTACAGATAACCACCGCCCTCGGACCATCTTGGTAGCTATAAATCAAAATGAGTGTAGCTCCCATGCAACCTGGGTTAATTTTTGTTTACAATATATCCACTGAAAATGTTGGTACGACACTTGAGGAGACTGCTCACAGATTAGTGCAGAGGAAAATATATGAAGGAGTCAAGGCATAAAGGAAAGATACACATCACCTATACAAAACACAGTAAAACCTCACTAATTCATACTAATGTCTAGAAGATCTATCTGATTACTGAACTCTGTCAATACCAAATTTAAGCAAAGAACCTAAGTGCACAAAACACAATATACTTGGTAACTATTGTCTCATTTATATTATTCAATATAAGTCAAAGTATTTGACAGCAACCTACCTAAAAAAGTTTTAAGTTACTGCACTGAAACTCAAAGAAGTTTGTTAATCTTAACAATAAGGCTTATTCCCCTATTTCTGGTGCAAATAAAGTGGTATTAGCAACACAGACACAAAAAGCACATTTCAAACACACTTTATATTAAGTAAGATCAAAATACTGCAAAGTTAGTTACAAGGAAAGTTAAATTGAAGATTCAGTGCCAACTGTATATTTTAGGATTATGAAGATCCTCTGACTTAGTATGAAAAAAAATCTACATTAAATGTTAAAATTCCTTTTGTTGTTTACAAAACACATAGACAAAAATCTATGTAAAGACAGAGTTAACTGATAATCTTGGTAAGATCTTGACTCAAATCAGTTTTCTACTCTTTCTGACCAAAAGAGTAGGTCAGCCTATGGAAAAGAAAAAAATGTATTGGGAAGGAAGAAGAATGAAAAATAAAACTAAGCACCCAGGAAGAAAACAGTTATCTTAAATAAAGTACCACTTTCACATAGGAAGACTGCAAAATGGAGAAACATGCATTTCTGTCAGACAGTATTACTAAGTGAAAACAGACAAATGAGAACATAATATATGGGATATAGCCCTAGAGGGCAGGGGGGGCCCAAGACTGTTGGTTGATATTCAAGGATCACCTGCTACAAGCTCAGGAATGTTGCATCTCAACCAGAAGGAAGTGCAGCAGGAGAGCCAGGATGGATAAGGAGCTGCTGAAGAAACTTTGAAGGGAAAAAAGAGGATTATAAAAGGTGGAAACAAGGACAGGCGGCCTGGGAATAATACAGCGATGCTGTTTGGGAAGTTAGGGACTAGGTTAGGAAAGCTAAGGCTCAGTTAGAATTAAACTTGGCTAGGGATATGAAAGATAATGGACATGTAGTGAATAAAAGACAGATTAGGGACAACGTAGCCCCTCACCGGAAGCTGTCAGGAGAACTGGCTACCCTGGATTTGGAGCAGGCCGAGGTTCTGAATGACTTCTTTGCCTCGGTCTTCACTGGCAAAGGCTCTGACCACACCACCCAAGTCTTGGAAGGCAGACGCAGGGACTGTGAGGATGAAGACCTAGGGCCCACTGTAGAAGAGGATCTGGCTCGAGAACATCTCAAGAACCTGAACATGCACAAGCCCATGGGACCTGATGAAATCCATCCACGGATCCTGAAGGGGCTGGCAGATGAAGTTGCTGAGCCACTGGCCATCATATTTGAAAAATCATGGCAGTCAGGTGAAGTTCCCAACGACTGGAAAAAGGGAAATATAACCCCCATTTTCAAGAAGGGGAAAATGGATGACCTGGGGAATTACAGACCAGTCAGTCTAACCTCTGTGCCTGGCAAAATCTTGGAGCAGATTCTCCTGGAAGGCATGCTAAGGCACATGATAAACAAGGTGCTTGGTGACAGCCAGCATGGCTTCACTAAGGGGAAATCCTGCCTGACCCATTTGGTGGCCTTCTACGGTGGGGCTATGGAACTGATGGACAGGGGTAGAGAGTTGATGTCATTTATCTGGACTTGTGCAAAGTGTTCAACACTGTCCTGCATGACATCCTTGTCTCTAAATTGGAGACATCAATTTGATAGATGGGCCACTCGGTGGATAAAGAATTGGCTGGATGGCCGCACACAAAGAGTTGTGGTCAATGGCTCAATGTCTGGCTGGAGACCAGTAACGAATGGTGTCCCTTAGGGATTGGTGTTGGGACTGGTCTTGATACGCTGGAGGGAAGGAATGCCACCCAGAGGGACCTCGACACACTTGTGAGATGGGCTGATGCCAACCTAATGAAGTTTAACCATGCCAAGTGCAAGGTCCTACACCTGGGTCGGAGCAATCCCAGGCACAGCTACCGGTTGGGCAGAGAAGAGATTCAGAGCAGCCCTGCAGAGGAGGACTCCGGCGTGCTGGTTGATGAGAAAATGAACATGAGGCGGCTTCAGTATGCAGTTGCAGCCCAGAAAGCCAACCATATGCTGGGCTGCATCAAAAGGAGCGTGACCAGCAGGTTGAAGGAGGTGATCCTGCCCCTCTACTCTGCTCTTGTGAGACTTCACTTGGAGCACTGTGTGCAGTTCTGGTGTCCTCAACATTAAAAGGACATGGAACTGTTGGAACAAAAATCCAGAGGAGGGCCACGAGGATGATCAGAGGACTAGAGCACCTCCTGTATGAAGATAAGCTGAGAAAGTTCAGCCAGGAGAAGAGAAGGCTGTATGGAGACCTCATAGCAGCCTTCCAATATCTGAAGGGGTCAAATAAATGCATCAGTTCATCAAATCGCTTTAAACCTATTACTGCTCTTGCAACTGTCTTCTCAGTTACTGAGTAAAGAACTTGAGCTATTCTGAACACAGTGATTCCACCTAAAGAACTTGTTAGTACTGGTAGCTTTATCCTTTCATAATATGCAGAAGTCAACACCACGCTTCTAAATAAACACTTACCTTGTCTGCTATTTATGAAACAATAGGAGTCTGACTGGTTACTTCTCACAGGTCATTAAAGCACTGGGGTGGAAGTCCTCCTAGCTTTTCTTCTAATACTATAGAATTCAGAAAAGCAATACACTACTAAAAATTAATTTTTATCTGCTGAAATAAATTAAAAAGTGACCCCTGTGAACCACATCCCCTGCATGCTCCACATGTGCAACAACATCAAACATCCTTAGACTCACATGGAAGCAATAGTTTGCTTTCCTTCTTTAGGCACAGCTTATGAAGGAAAACAAGGTAGCAAGCATGCTGGTCCTTCAGCTGCTACTGTCATAAAATGAAAGCCCTTACAGTAGCAAGTGTCAGCCTTTATCTGGAAACTCACCTACAAAACCAGATACTATCAGCAGATGCTCCTAAGGAAATACTTGGATATTAAAGAATTGCAGACACATATATGAGAATATATACTCTAGGTATATAACAGAAATGAAACTCCTTCAAATGGAAACCAGTGTCTGATTTTCCATCTGTGGTGTGATTCCAGCAAAAGAACATTATTTATTCCATATTACAGTGTATCTTACTGTAGATATCTCATAAGATTTGCAGAACTCCAGCTAGGAAGTCCAATTTTGGGGCAAAATATAAATCAGTGAAAAAAATTTTTCATCTGAATTTCAACAGAATCTGTATTATTGACTCTGGTCTGCTAGAGTACAACACAGTCTATGTTATACTTTCAGAAGTGCTATTTATATATTGTAACTCTAAGAGATTCTCTGTTTTCTTCCCAGAAAATAAGTGGCCTTTCATAATTAATATCATGTTACAGCATCACACTAGCTAGCAACATTACAATTAACGGTTCTGAATGAAAGTGTTGTTTCTACATTGTTTTCAAATGCTTTTAAACAATACTAACTTGCTAGATGAGGGGCTTTTTGGGGGGAGTTGTTCATGTTAAGGACATTGAGACATGGACATGAATTACTTGGAAAGTAAAATAAATCAAATTTAGGTTTTGTTATTCAAATAAATACATTTACATTGTTAAAAAAATTAAAATCTGTATCTGCTTCTACCACTTCGCTTCTAAAATTGGTTTATCTTCCTTTTAGCATCTTCAAAAAAAAAAAAAGGTAAGAGAGACAGGATCAAGTCCAGAGATATGCTAATTAGGATGTTAATACAAAATTTCTTATTTGGCAATGGGGGAATCTGGAATGCATCTAATTCGGAAATTACCTAGGTGATGATTATTTAAAGTAGCACATTTTGGTGGTCAGCAGAAATTCATTGTATTATACTTACATGATCAAAAGAGGACAGGCTAAAAAAATCCCAAAACAACAGGAAATAAGTAACTTCATGCGCAAAACTACAGATAGCATGCAAAAACACAGCCTAATAAGCAACTTGAATATTATGCCTACTGCATAACATTGTAGCTATTTTAGGTAATATATAGTATTTTATTTATATATATATTATATATATTTACATATATGTATAACTATATAATGTAATTATTTTAAATAATATATATACACCAGCACTTAATTTAGCAGTCTCTTGACATCCAGAACCATCCAATATTACACCCAGGAATGCTTCCCAGTTCTCCATTCCAGATGCATGCCACGGCTACATCCTGAGGCCTTACCAAATTCAAACATCGGTGAGAGAGATCTCTACTCCTGTATGCTGCTCTCCAAGAAAAGAAAATACAAGGAGAGAGGCTGCAGGCTAGGTAAAGCATGATGCAGCAAGTCTCTCAACCACACTGCCCAGAACCAGAATCCTGAGGTACACCCAAATATGTCATCTGTATACAGCAACATCACACAAGATGGTATTTAGTTTCATTTTACTAAGATATATGCCCTGTCCCATTTCTTCAACTGAAAGCAACATCAGGAGCATTTAAATTAATATTTAAATATTAATAACTTACTTTTATTTCCAACCAAGGCCACAAGTGGCTGTGTTTCTGATTCTTCATTCACTTTTTTTACTGCATTATACCAGTCTTCTAAATTTTCAAAACTCTGGCCATTGGTAATATCATAAACCAAGAGAACAGCCTAAATAACAAGATACATAAAAAATATTACTAGACATTAAAAAATTTTACCATGGTGAAATTTGCACCTGCCCAAATTACTATTATCATAAAACAGAGCATTAACAAATAATGGCATTGCATCTTTTCAGGAATAATTAAAGGAATTATAAATCTCTGTAATAAACACATTATTGCAGTATATCTCCAGCATTCCACATGTTCCAAATTCAGATGCTAACAGAACTACAAGGGTAGTAAAAAAAAAAAAAGACAATTCAATAAAGGGCACAATTAGTTATATTAGAAATATTCCAAACTGCATATGCTTTATGAAAACCCCAAAAGCACTTCACACTACTGATAAGGTAAAAATCACAATGGAGAAGGACTTTTATTTTAGCTGATGTTATTTGTAGTTTCACTGCTCTCTTTTTGAAGGGAAAAAAGGAAAAAAAAGGCAGTTCAATTGTACACTTCAGCACATTGCCCAACTTGTTTCTCTACTCTCCTTTGAGAAGAAAGGCCACTGCTGTAGGAGACAAGCAAGAAACACTGGCAAACTTTAAACTTTCAAAGAAGAAACTAAAGATGTAGTCAGAAGGCAATCACATATATTTCAGAGGTTTTGTGCCAGGCTACACTTAACAAATATTCACAGCAGATATTACTTTGAAGATTCCTCAGAGCTAATGTCCAATATTATAATGCCTACTGACAGCCCAAACACCTGCCTCCTCCCCTCCGTAATTGTAATACTAGCTCTCACAAATCACTGTCCTCTCAATTACTGAGGCTTTCCATCTCACTCTAATCTTGATGAGGAATAAAATCAGAATTGGCTTCTTTTGTACTTGTCCTCATGAAGTTCACATCTGAAGAAAAAAAAAAAAAATCCCTGCAACTGCACACTGTCCCTCACATAAAATTTGTATAAATATTCCAAAAAAAGACCCCAATATAACACATACAAAATTAGCTGCTTCAATGAGCCACTGTCAACAGCAGAGATTTTTTTCAAGTCAAGTGTTTTCAGGCATTTGTCTGGGACAAGCTTTACTTCTCAGTTTCATGAACAGTGTCTTAGACCACAAAATAGGATGCACACTTTTAAAATGAATTTCACAGATGACAACAAACTGGTAGAGACCACAAGATTATTTGAAGAGAGTTTAGATTATGTGATGAGAAACAAGCTAAAAATAACAGGATGCAATTCAGTAAATCCCAGGACAAGTTCAAAGGAAGCAATAATCACCTGCACAATAGGAAACATCTGGCTTTGTAGCAGGTTCCATACAACAGGATCAAGGACTTATAGTAGATCACAGTTGAATATGTCAAGCTTATTTTATAGAAAAAATGCAAATATCACAGTGCCATGAAACATTCCATGTGAAATAATGCATCCAGCTTTGGATGCTAAATGTCAGGAAAACGGTAAACTAGAAGAGACTAGTAATAGTGCTGGAGGTTTAGAAACCATGACTGACATCAGAAGTTTGAATAAAACCTTGTATTTTAATGCAACACTGATGGCAGGTATGATGATACTGGTAAAAGTTTCAAGAGAAGATAACCATTATCTTTCTATATGCTCTTATATATAGTCTGCAGATGACACTAATTTGGGAAGACCAGCCAATAGGCCCAAGGCTTAAGAAATGCTTAAGGAACACACTTAAGGAATGAATGAACAGGAACCTTTCAACATTCAACCAGGACAAATGCAATGCCCTGCAACTGGGGATGAATAAATGACATAAGCTGGGGGGACTGACTAGCTAGGAAGCAACTGAAAATGACCTGCAGGTCTTGGTAGACAGCAAGCCAAGTATTAGTCAACAGTGTTCCATGGCAGCAAGGATGGCCAACATGACCCTAGGCTGTATTAGCATGAGCACAGTCACTAGATCAAGGGATCTATTCCATTCTACTCAGCACTTGTTAGATCATATCTGCAGTAATACATCCAGTCTTAGGCCCCTCATAACATCAATGAAGTGGAGTAAGTTCAGCAAAGGGCCACCAAAATTGTAAGACTGGACACTTATCCTATAAGGAAAAGCTGAGGGAACCAGAATTCTTCAGTATGAAGAGGAGATGGCCTTGGGAGAACCCAAAAGCAGCCTTTCCATACACATGAGGAAGCCACCAAGGAGATGGAGCAAAGCTCTTCACAGAAGTGCATGTCAGGAGGATGAAACAACAGGCATAAACTGAAACAAGAGAAATTCAAAATAGATATAAGGAAGAGCTTTTTCACCAGGAGGAGATTCAAGCAGTCAAATACATTGCTCAAAGAGGTTGCTCCATCTCCATCCTCAGAGGTTTTCAAGAAGGAACAAGTGGCTAAAGCCTTGAGCAACCTAGCTCCATCTCACAGCTGACCATACACTGAGCAGGAGGTTTGACTAGATGCAGGCAGAAAGAGATCCCTTCCACCTTGAACTTTCTTACAGTTCTGTGATCAATATGGCACATAGCAACAAGTTTAACTGCAGTAAGAAGATTATAGCAAGGGTACGTATAAGGGGAAAAAAAAAAACCAAACATGTAGACAATAAGAATAGTGAAGCTCTGAAATATACCACCTTCAGAGACACTCATCAACACTGGAGGATTTTTGAAGGTTGATAAAAATGAAATAAACATTGTATATGTATAGCTTCAGAAGAGAGTAAAAGATCCTACCTAGATCCTTTCAATTCCTACTTCCCTATGATAGCAATACAAATCTGTTTTTTCCTTCAACGCCATCAACAGTTGGAAAAATTAGTTCTTGTTTGTTATATTTATATGGCCACTATTAATTTCTGTGAAACAGCTTTCAGCAGTTCCTTCAAAGAAATTAAGAACTCACATACACCTTTTTCCTTGCTATCTTTTCTCCTTTACCAATCAAATCCAAAATTAAACATCCAGTTCCAGCTTCCAACCTCTGTATAATTTATTTCTCACTATCTTGCATCTCAGTTAACTTTTCCTGACTGTTTTTATAACTATCCAAGTGCCTGGACATGTATATATACGTTTGTCTTCCATAACATAAGACTTGCTCTAAAAAGGGCATACTGATGTTGTTAAATGCTCAGTGGAAAAGAAGAAACTCAAGCTGAAGGACAGGTATTTTAAAAGTTAAAAAAACCCAGACATAAGGTTGAATGTTGTAAATAACAAAGCGCACATGGCATGCTTCTTTCAACAGCGGTCAAGTTCTCTCAGCAGCTTGCAGAAAAATTGAACAGACTATCTATCTTCTATCTACCATCTTCACCACTGAAGAGCTGTATCAGAATTAGATATAAGACAAAGTTAGAATCTGAGCATTTAAGATTGGCCAGCTCTGTTTCTGATTCTTCACCAAACTGTGCTCTGCTACATATACTCTAGACAACTGGAGCCTACCTACACGTTTGGAAGAAAGGGCATTCACAGTGGATTTGCCAGAAATAATTGAATATAGTCTGCAATTAGAGCTCACCTAACTTCCTTTTGGCCCCTTTCTCCATGATCTAAAACATTTCCTCTAAAGCATGTTCTTTTCTTAACCTCTCTCTTTTTTAATCTTGTCAATATTTGCTATACTTAAGAAACAAAGATGGCAGGCATGACATCTCATAGATGCAAGAAAAGGCAGCATGGCATCCAGGTCATAAGGAATACTTCTTGTTTTGATTTTTGCCACAACAGCACTCTACAAGTAACTTAGTATGATATATGTAACTAATGAAGGACTAGTCGTAACTCATAGATAAAATTTATTTCACCTTTTTTTATTTAACATAGAAACCCCATCACAAAAAAAAAAAAAAACCACACATATTTTCCACAGTATATGGACTATAGAACAAGTAAATAGTATAAAAGCTGTTGTTTCCTCCTTATGTGTGAGCAACTAAGGTAGGAAACTAACACTGGCCTTTTTACACAGAAGTAGCCCATTTCCCTGCCATGAAAAAGGTTTGAAACACATGGCAGACAACATGCCAAGAACAGCACGTTAATTCTCTAGTCTCCAGCAACATGGTAAATAGTCCCCGCTTGCATAATTGCACTCTAGTAAGAGAGACATTCTGCCTGTATTAGTGCATATGTGAGTGCTTTTTGTTTTGGAATTAGAGTATTTTCAAAAATAGGTCACTGGAAAGTGAAAATATTGCAGAAATGATTTGCTGGTCTCTGGAGAAGGTAGGGTCTGCAGCACTCTTATTCTATTAACAAGCCAATTTATGAGGTAGCATATGCCAGCTCTTAAAGATACTTTAAATGAGATATGTGGGTAGGGGTAGCAATTACAGGTAAGAGATGGGAGCGGTTCTGAAATATTTGCCACGCAAACAGCAATGGTACTATTATACAGCAGAACTGTTGTTATGGAAGTGTTGTAACCAGGCAATATATTCACACTAGACAATCAACATTTAAAAGCTGTCAAGTTTATGTCAAGATCTGTCACAATAAAAGAAAGCTACAGAAAATACTAATTAAAACCGTATGTTTTCTTCTTCAGGTTTATCCTCAGCTGCCCCCATCCTATGACTGACTTTAGTATGAAGGAACAACATTAACTTTAAAATTTTCATTAATATTTATGAAATATGTCAGACCAAATTTCTAAAATATTTTTCTAGTCACAGATTATTCATTTTAGCAAAGAGTAACTTCATTATGATATCTTGCACATCTGCAGAAATGCTAATTTTACAAGTGAAAACATCTTACAGTCTACTTATACTTTACCTCAGTTGTCTGCTGATACAGAGGACATGGTCACCCAAATGCACATGATTAAGTAGCTGTAATTGAGCTACTGTCTATCAGTTCAGCTGTGGTAATTGACTATATAATTACTCTTAGCCTCTCTCAATTCTGAGATAAATGTGTCAGTTTTAATCAGCACTGACAGAAAGCTGTTTATTAGCACCTTTTATTCATAAAGATCAGAGAGCTCTTTCCCCCCCCCCCGCAATTTGCAGAGTCCCCATCAGGAAATTCAGCTACCAAGACAGGATGCAGCAACACCAGATTAAAAACAGGTACGGAAAAGACTGCTCTAAGACAGCAAATAGCCTCTCTCAACAGCAGCTGCCTTCCAGCACATTCATCCCCAACTTGGTGCCATTTGCAAACAATAATTTGTTCCACTGTTCAAAGAATTAATAAGACATGACCTCTGTACAAAGCCCTAAGGAATACGCCTTAGAACCACACACCAGTAGGACACTGAGCAGTGGACCATCTCCCTTTAAGTCCAGCTGTCCATTCAGTTTTCCAGTCACGTTATGGTCCATCCATCTAGTCTGTATCTTTACATGTTGTCTGTAATAATATTATGGGAGATTATATCAAAGGCCTTGCTGAAGTCAAGGTAAAGGACATCAACTGCTCTTCTCTCCACAGAGCCAATCATCCAACCACAGAAGGCATTCAGGTTGGTTTGGCAACACTTAAAAATTCCTAAGTACGTGCTAGCTCTTCCCAGTTACTCTCTTCTGTTTTGCTCTCCATTTACAGGAATTTTTGTACATACTTACAATGATTTTTCTTTCTAAACACTCCTACTTCTTTTTCTTCTAAAAAGCTATACATTTCAACATGAAATAAGCTTCTGCCTAGAAGCCTGCTGCACACAGTGCCTTTCCAAATTATTCATGGTGTTTCATGAATTGATGAAAATAGTTTCATGTGTCTTTAACATGATGCTGTTACAAAGCTAATAGAAAAGTGCATTACAAGTCAACTTTCATGGTAAGAAGCCTATTACAAACAATGGCAATACATGACACCAATGGGAGAGAAAGCAGCTATCAGTTCATTATAAAAAAAAAAAAAATAATAATAGGGTTACAATGAGGGTTGGGGAAGGATTAAAGAAGAACAGATTTGATGTAGGGGTTTTCTGTTAATGTGCTCAGAATGACTGAAAAATCAAACTTTTGTAACTTCAGGCTTACTGATATCCACTTTTTCACTACTTTGGGGCACTGGTATTAACTTTTTGACCTGCTACTGCTGATAAGAAACTCCTAAGTTTATCACCAAATTCAATACAGAAGAAGTTAATAGCCTTTTATTTCCTTCATCAAGTTTAGTTTGGGCATATGGCAACAATTTGTGATCAATCAAATTCTCATCATGGAAGCCACTTTATTCTGTGGCTTGGTAGATCTTTAACAGGGCAGCAAAATGTTTTTTATCAAAAATAAGAAAACGCTATAAAACAGATGCAACAGAAACATTCTGACATTTTTTGAAAGTGAAAGAATGTTAAATTGACAAGTTTGTCTTTATCCTACTAACTAATAAATCCTGATCTCCTTAATTAGCCATTACTGTGCTGTACTTGTTAGTACAAAGTTTCTGTCCAGTAAAAGTTTCAGGATTCGGTATTCCTATTGCCTAAAGTACTGGGGAAAAATTATGTGCATTCATATTCTTTTCAGATAAATTTAACATTAAATAATAAAACATGTTATGTCTATTGCCCTCATTACAAACTCCAAATTAAAGAACAGAGCATATTTTGGGATCGCTCATATTAAGAACTTTGAAATATATTACATCCTCCAAAATCATCTCATAACTCTAGATACTTCTATAACATTTAGCTCTTACTTAATCCTACCATTCACTTTAAGTTGCTTAGTTAACCTCAAGATAAAATTAATTTTCACTGGATAGGAGTTCTGCAAAAATGTTTAGCTACCTGGTTGCCTCCTTTTCTTTGCCCTCTTAGAACTCCAGTTGCATGTATGAGTTTAATGGTGTAGGATTGCCCTTAATTTCCTCCTTCTACTTTTCCCCGCAGGAGGCATCTGTTCCAAAAGCAGCCACTCTATATCTACCATGTGGATATCCAAATAGCCTTTTATTTACTATGATTGCTTTTCTTAACTCAAGACACAAAGCATGGAAAACATGCATACATCTGCTCTTAAGAGTTATTCAGATCTACAAACGTGTACTCATGCTTTGATTTTCAAGTCAGCTCTAAAAAATTAACTGCATACCAAATTTAGATGTGCATGTTTAAGATCAATTAAGTTTAGGTTAAGCAGTGATTCAACATTTGTGAGATTTACAAAATAATAACCTGTAACATATGTATAATTTTAAGAAGAAAGTTTCAGGGAATTTTATATCATTACTATAGATACTATTATCATGATTTATACTGTACCTGAGCTCCATAAATATATTTGTCCAGCATTTTGCCTCCTATCGTTTGTCCCCCTACATCCCACACTTGAAGAGTAACATTCAAATTTCCTGAAAAAGAAAATGATACAGATACTGGGTAACCTGGAAAATTTAAATACAAATAAAATTAAGGATATATCATCACAGCAGGTAATACAGCTCTAGTATATCAACAGCAATAGCTTTACCAGGTATACAACAGTAACCAAATTTCAACACAAAAATGAACGTATCATTTGAAAAAACTCACTTGTGTCCAGCTAAGTTAAGAGGTAGTAAAACTACAGGTAGACATTAACATATTCAAAATTAACAGAAAAATAAGTGGAATTGCATAGTATAATATTCCTGACTATAAATAACATAGTATACTTTGATGAAGAAAACTGTACAACTTTACAGAGAGAGTTCTAAAGCACAGTATTTGGAATTGAAAGGTAATATATAATTAATACCAACTTCAACACATTATTTCATATGCCATGGCCCTTCCCTTCCCCCTTCCAAGTTTACAAATCTAGAAGCGGGTAAAATCTTCACAGTAACTGCATTTGGTAGCGATGCTCTTAGTAATATACAGTTAAAGAATTACATAGATGACAGATTGAAAAATGGAAATATTGACACACATCTAACTTGAGGATGCAAAACTACGATTATTTCCTCCACCCACTACCCCAAAGCAGGCAACTAAACTGGACGTGATCTACATGTCCAATTTCATCTTTGAAGAATCTACACCAAGAATAGATCTTCCTTTCTACTCTGAACAGTTTTTAAGCTATACTGACTTTCTTTTATATATATAGAGAGAGAGAGAGAGACACTAACACTTTCAGTTAACAGGCTTTCAAAAACGAAACAAAAGATCAGTGAAAATACAGAATATTTAATACCGTCACACATATTCTGCAAGCTATTAACTCGAACACAGACTAAACACACACATGCATACAAACATAGTAAAGTATAAACTGGTTCATGTTGCATTGTGAAAACTTTTCAAAACTGTACTATTACCTGGAAGCACCAAACTTTAATACAGTGAGGTCTGATGAGAATTTTTCTAACCTACATACAATTCACATGACTTACAAGTTAACAACAATTCTATATACTCACAAATAATCATAACTCCTTATTAATTTTACTCCTAGATTTAAAAAAAATGCAAAAAATTCTACATCACAACAATTGATTGTCGAGCAAAAAAGAACACATCATTTTTGGCTACTAAGAAAGGTACACTCTTAATTCAATTATCTTGTTAACAACTTTATTTTACACAGTCTGATCTATTTCACAATCAATTTATAACTAACACACTCATATTAAGTAAGGAAGTGTGCTCCACAGAAATATATCCCAGCACTCAGTGAATATAAACAGCAAATTAGAACCATATAGTTGAATATATGCTATTCATGGTATTAAATATATCATATTGTATTTTTATGAAGCATCTTGCTTTAATCTGATTAAAAGCACAGATTTCCTAAACTGCTGCTTTGCTCTCAAATATACAGAAATGAATGTGGGACTACCTACTCAGTATTTTTCAGGTACACTGGGTTTTATCTAACAGTAAGATAAAGAATTCGATTTGTAGGACAATAAATACATCATAACATTCCAGTTCAATAAAAGCTTATTTCTTTTGACAGTGCATATACTATGTATTTAAAGCTTAGAACATAAGTGACTGCAAACAATGCAGGAAAGTCTTCCATATAGCATCTGGCATGGATAAACTGGCCAATCTACAGTCAGAAATTATTATGCATCCTCAGTGGGTAAACAAACTAAACATGCTCAAAGGCTTAACATGCTGCAGTGTTCTACCCCTAACTTGGTTGTTTGTATTCTTCTGGAAATTTACCATGTCATTCATGTCAGCTATTGGGGAAAAAAGCTTTATAAATATTATCACTCAAACTCAAATTTTCAAATGCCTAATTTTGTGTTCAAATGCTTTAAAAAGTTTCCAACTTCATTCTTCTTCCTAAAAGTAGTAATCATGCACAACATATGGGTTTAGTATCTGGGTAACTGTATGAAATTATCTGAGAAAATTTGCAGGAAGTTAAACTAAATGGTCTAACAGTGACTGTTCAACTTAAAAATCTACTGTTATGAATTATTTACTTTCCTTCACTGCAACAAAAAGAAACTGGAAGAAAAAGAAAAAAAGAAACAAAAAGAAAAAAAAGAAACTGGAAAAAAAAGATTGGAATGTTCATTTAAGGTGAAGTGATTCTTCATAAAGACTTCACTAACTACTGAAATTCAGGCTGAACATCTCCAGTGAAAAATCCTTCCTTTCCTTTTTCTTTCTTTTTTTTTTCAGTTAGGTGCCATAATACTTATTTTGTGTTCAGAAATTGATTTTATGGGTGAAAAAAATGATATTAGGATTATTCTGACAGAAGGAAAAACTCCAGACAATGTGCCTAGCAAATATTTAATTAACAACTATGATAACAGTACATGAAGTTTTCTGCAATGAGTTTGAAATCTTCTGGTTTTCCATAGATTTAGGAGGAACATATAAGCTGGAAAATTACAACAAAAAGAAACCATGCATAACAAGACAGTTTTTAAGAAACAAGATTAACATACCAATAAAAAGAACTAAAGAATCCCATAAAAATAATATGCAATATGCTGACATGGAACAATAAAACATTAGTACTTCTTTACTCTGTAGAAAATACACGAGTGAGAAGTTAAATTAATCGAGGCAACACCGTGCAAGAATCTAGATTGTTTCTGGTATGAACTGAAGCCACTGGGGTGACTCAGTAGTGATCCTGCAGAAATACACCTGGTGCATTGGTTAACCTTATTTGAAGCGATTCACAGTCAAGATGAAACTAAAAACACGAGTCTGCCCATTTTTTGCACTGACTTAGAAAAAAAAAACTTTTAACAGAAGAATCCTGTTTACTGGACTGCACCCCACAGCCCTCCTAAACGTATTCGACTAAGGCTCTTACGAATCTCTACCAGCGGACCCTTTGACGAACAAATACACTATATAAGCAGTAAAATCTACACCGTGGTTGCATCCAGACTACACAAGACACCGCATCAATAAATATACTGAAGTTGATTTGCATTTGAAAAAAAAAATTTTTTACAAACTTCGTGAAGAGAAGTCACTGTCAACAGTTGAACACTTAAAAGTCACTTTGTTCAAAATTAATTCTTTTCCTATTTGTATTAAACCATATTGTTTTACCATATAAAATACTTATTTTCATTGCAAAACTGCATCAGTTACTAAAACTGGAGACAAATAACAGTATTTTTTAAAAAGCCCCAAAAAACAGAAAAACAGTATTTTACAAGCTAACATACATTCCTAATGTGGCCTAATGTAAACACCTCTGCAATTCTAGAAATCAGTAATTTTAACTTCTGAAAACTTCATTTATGGGAAAAAAAAAAATCAACTACTGAACCACAGTTATGCACCAATTCTCCTACTAAATAGGAGAAATTGAGGGGGTTTTCCTATTGATATACATATATTATAATTCCTGTGCAGTGGTATGAATTAGCCTTTCAAGTAAACACAGCAGTTCTGCAAACCCAGAAATAATCAAGAAATTAGAAAAATCCGCTTACTTAAGTAATGCTTCCCATTCCAGTATTTAGAAACTTTACCTCCCTCCCTCTTCTTTCACTCACTCCCCACCACCAGTTCAGCTTACCTATAAGACACAGAAACCCTCAGATACCTAAACACATACATGGGCATAGGCGAAACCATTGAATGACAATCTGTAGAAAAATGTGTCTTTCTGAATATGAACACATTCCACAAATATTACTATTTTGTTAATGATAAATGAGGAAAACAGATGTACAGACTTTGTTGCCATTTTCGTGCTATATGGTGCTACAAAACATTCTGATTTTATTACAAAATAAACTAGAAGAAAGCAAAACATGAATGAATGAATAGTTGATAATTTTACAAATTTTCTACTCCACAATATTTAGAATCCCAGTAACATACTAATAGCTCCTGTATGCTTAACAGCTGGAAAAAAACTTGCAAAAAGAAGTTCTCAGCATGCACACTGCATGATTTGTGTACACATTCCACTTGCAAGTACTGCTGTTAAGTATTATACACACTGGTATTTTTAGAGGCATGAGCAGGACAATAAAAAAATTATTCCGTTGATTTTATGGAGAAATAAGCACTGAAATTTGGTACTTTATCACTCACCAGATACTAAAAAAATACAGCAAAATTGCCAAACCAAAATAGTGAATGCAGGAATAGTCTGAAAAGATTATTCTGTTTCACTTACCAAAATATATAAACATAATCAAGAAGTTATTGGCAATATAATTTTAACAAAATAAGTTCAAGAACTGTATATATTTTCTTATAACTTCAGGTTACAGCTAAAATGCTTCATTTCTGGCTTTGCTTCCCTCCTTGTCCTCTACAAGGAAAAAAGAGAACTACAGAACTGAACCTGCATCAGCTTTATCAAATCTCACTACAAGATTTATATTACAATTATTACAATAATTACACATACTTTTGCCATCTTCTTCTGATTTTTGAAGCCAGAAGAAAATGCATTTAATGAAATACTTGCACACTTAGAAATTAAGCAAACACAAATCAATAAAGCCTTATTTCAAATCCCCAATTGTTCAGAGACAAACTTTTACCAGCAACTATTCTTTTATAATTATTTCTTTTCATTTTCCATGCAGTGTGCTGCAACTGGCATCTAAATAGTTTCTTTGCAGTCATGAACTGAACATCTTGAATGCTCAAACTGTATTTTTATGAGTGCCGAGGGACCCTAAATTTTAGTGGTCTATTAAATGCCAGCAATTTCATGCTGCCTTGCATAAAACAGCATTCACATATTAGAGCACTGCGATTCCATAGCTGCATTATGCTTCTCTCACACAACTCAAATACAAGTTGTGTATTTCATTAAAAAAAAAAAATATTTCTTTCAGAGCACATACATATTTTGAATTAATATATTTAAAGTTCCATTTCATTGTTGTATGTTACACTATCCACACGGTCAGCGAGTTCACTCAAGTAGAGATAATAAAAGTCATTAATATAGATAGCATTCCTTTTATATGAATTCAGTGTTTTAGGTGCAAGTTGCAAATGCATAACCCTTTGTCACCTGTCAAGAACATACTAACAAAATTTTACTTGAATAACCTAATTTACTTTGCCATAAAAAGCACTGTACTAAGCTTATCTGGTATACATTACTTTGAAGAATCTGTTTCTGGAAGCCTTACTTCTGCCCAGTCTTTCAGTGTTACTTTTTATTTTCTTACCTGGCAATATTATCCTCTTCAAGAAGAAGTCCAATCCTATGGTTTGTCTGTACTGTTTTCCAAATGTTTCTTGAGCAAAACGTGTAGCTAAGGATGTCTAAAACAAAACAATATTAAATTGTCATTTTAAACAGCAAAAAAACGTGACGTTAAACCAGAAGTATGAAATACAGTTAAGCGCTTTTTAAATTATTGCATGCCAACAGCGTCCATGGATTTGGACTGACAAGCATCCCAGCCAGCTTCAACATAATAAAAGGTTACTTGTCTTCTTAAAAAGGCTATTAATTTATGCAAAAAGAAGCAAGGTATATATTTCCTTTATATTTCAAAGGTACTGCTTAGTCATATTAGAAAATATTACACAGACTTGAATAAGGCATCATTAGTACACTCAAACTGAAACAAATCTAAGTGACAATAGCCATACCTGAAGAGACTATTTTTAAAAAGCATTCATTTCCAAACAAGGGTCCTTCCCTGGTACAGAACACCAAGATCCCAGACCAACTTTCTGGGAGGGAACAGAGATCTGCACAGTGAAGAGTCCCTCAGGGGCCCAAAGTGTGGCAGATTCCCACCACTGTATATCAAAGTTCCAGGATCAGATATTACATAATAGGAAGAAAGTCCCACAATCCACAGATTAGAAAAAGAAAAAAAAAAAAGCAAAAGAAAAAAAAAAAGAGAGGTGCAATTTTAAAGAATACAAACGCTTTTATTGTGAAAAAAATGAAATACATTAAAAAAACATGTTGCACTGATAAAATACATCCTACATCACATTAGAGGTGTGCACTTAAATATCTTGATGATGTGACATCTGAAAATATCAAGACAGAGTAATTGCAGAAAAAATCTAAATATGCATTTACACATACAGGGGAATAAAAGCCTAAAGGCCTCACAAAACCCTTTCACTGCCTGAGAACACTCAGATGGGCAAGAAGAATTTTTTTTGCCAGCTTTCCGTTCATCCAGACATAAAGAGATGAGTCACATTGTTATTAGAAATAGCTGATAGAGCACACAGAATTAATGCAGTAGCAAAATAATGCCAATAGTTCTGAAACAATGAAAATAGGCAAGCTCTGTTAACAGAACGGTTATAATGAAGATATAAAGTATGCTAAAAATCTCAAATGTACACAGGAAGAAAAGATAAATTACTCTTTTTGCATGAAAACATGGTTACTAGACCTCCAGCATTAAAGCTCTAGTAAGAAAATAGGCAAACATTTATTCTACAATTAAATTACCCATGAAGTAAATACAAGATTTACTGTTTTCTTGTTTCTATATCACATTTCTATTTCTACCACTGTCCTATATATATAGTAAGTGATATCTTGATATCAGAAGATACATTTGGGAAGTAATCCAAAAAGTCAATTAGAGACTATGGCAACATTTTCACTTACTTCACTGAACTCAAGCCCCAAGAGGATTAAAAATAAATAAATAAATTGGGGGGGCAAAAGGCAAGTAAACTAGAAATAGCATGAATAGGGTTATATATTTATATCACTGTGGAAAAGGTGAAGACCACAGAGGATGAATCGTGAGAAGATTCTTCTGCCTACAGCTATGCGACAGGACTAACAACATACACAAAATTCAATACAGATTTAGACTGTTGTACTGAAAAAGTCAGTAGAACTTACTCTTTTAATCACAATAGTTAGTCTGTCAAAGCTACAAAGTTATTATTTTTAATCTGTCATGACCCTAAATACGTAGATAAAAATAAAAACATTGCAGTAATACACCATACAGCCTTCTCCTTCAGATTTTCCTTATCATAAAAGCAACCAGTACCCAGAGTACAGATTAAAACATCATCTAACTATATCATAGTATTCTGTATTCTCCAACACACTAATTTAGATCCCCATAAAATAAGCAACCACTCCCTTTTTGTTTTAAGGGCTCAGTAAATATTAGCTTTATCACTCTGTGACACTTGATATTCCCTGAGGGCCTCTAGGGGTGTTAGTGAAAATAAACAACATGCATTCAATTAACAGCTAAGCAACAAGAGCAGCAAATAACCAACAGCATGGCAAAATTCTCAGACAGTTTTCCTCTACCATGCTCTTGAATGCAAAGGAATTTATAGAAAAAAATCATTGACTAATTCCTTTTTATTTTTTTTTCCTAATAAATATTAGGGCTCAAGGCACTGGATTACCAGACTAGACTCCTCTACTCACAGAACAAACATTTATCCACAAAATACTAAGAGCAACAGTTCAAATTTCTCCACAACAGTCAACAAAGTTATGTCAATGCATATTCAGGTACCTCTACAATGCAGATACTCCCTTCAATCCTAAAATTGTTCCCTGCCATGCTTGCCATAAAAGATTCTGTATGACAGAATCTTTTCTGTCAATTTAAGAATACATTGACTGCAACCTATGTAAAAAAATAACCAAAGTTAAATAATCATTCAGTAGAACTGTAGTGATCAGTGACTGGTTTTGAAAAAGATTATGCTACATTCATAAGATTTCAACCACCAGTATATAGATCAGAGTATGATCAGTAATGAGTATGATATCAGTATGATATCAAGAAGGCCTTATTCCTTTATCTATCTCCCGAGACAACCAGGCCACCAACTTTCACAGCAGACTTTCCATTAGACCCGGTCTGACAGGTTCACACATTTGTCTTAAATACTTCAAAGCAAATGTTTAGAATGTTCTGAATAGCAATACACTATTGAAGGTTGGTGTGACAAACTCCCTCCTTTCAGACAATAAAAAGTCTGAGTTTAAAATACAGCAACAAAAAAATAATACATCAAATTTACAGCACCCTAAGGGCAAAATACAATGCAATATTTTGGAAGGTTTTTTTGGAAACAAAGATGAGATTAATTCTCACAGGCAAGGCAAGACAATTTCTTGTTTCCATCTGTCAATGTCAACAAGTCACAGTACAAACTGCTGACATGCTGTTCCTAAACATCTACCTACTGTATAAACAGAAGAGAAAAAAAGGCATATCCTATTTATTAAATAAATGGAAATAAACTGATCGTCAAACAGAACAAGCAATGATAGCCAGCTCTGACACTGACTACTCACCAGGACAGCAAAAAAACTTGTAGAGAAAACCCCACCAATGATGATTCTTTGAGTAAAATCCTATAGAAGAAAGCTTTTAGAAAGTCAAAGTGTAGCATCATAGTTGTAAGGAAAAAAAAAACTAAAATCAAAATTCAATGGGATGCAAGCACGCAGTTCTGAAGGCATGTATTTCCATTCATGTACCAATTTTACCAGCCAACTGAGAATCCACTTTTCAAAAACACTTATCTATTCCTTCCCTCACTCCTAGAACATCAAAGTCACTCCCCAAGCACACCAACATTCACCCCCCAGTCACGTCCTACCCCAACTGGCAAGAATTTTAAAACAAAATGAAAAGAAACACTAAGCTAAATAATGACATGCTTTAACTAGCATAAAAACATGTTAATTGTCCAACACAGAGAATTTCTCATTGAGAACAGTCTAGCTTTATTGGGGTTGGATGGGAAGTATTTTGTAAAAAAGAAAGAAGCTCTGCCACCTGAAGCTGGTGTCTTTCCACCACACTCCTAATTACTGATGAAACTCTGTTCACTCTAAAAGAGAAAATTATCAAGACTTTTTCAACATTAGCCATGGATCTATGAAGCTAGATCAATTTGCACAGGACACTTGATGCAATTTTCCACTTGCAGGACTCAACAATAACAACAGTGTTTTTGTCAACACTGATGAAATTTTTGAGTCCATGTTTAAAAACAAGATCCAGAATTGGCACAATGCTTAGAAATCTGGCATCCTAAAAAATACTAAAGGAAGCAAGACACCACTCTGTATTCCAGCCTACACTTTAGCTCCTACATCAGGTCAAGCATCAGACAGAAGACAGAACCTCAGCTGCTTTCTGCCTCCTGCACAGCTATTTTTCAGGACCTCCCTTCCCATGAATAGCTCCAAGATTTGCTTCCAGAGGCCCAAAACATTGTTCAACAGTACCAAGTCAGAGCAGTTCTCTTAAATCAGCATCATTATATACTTCAACATTAAGCCAATTTGTGCATAGCAAGCGTAGAAATATCTGAATCATAACATCATTTTTTTTAATGCATACTAGTACTGCTGGTTTATTTTAACCGAAAATCATTCTGGCTCAGGATGAGTAGCTTGATTTAAATCCTAGGTGCATATGGCTACTCTGTATATATATGGTTCTTCCTGTAACCAAAATCAAAGAGCCAACTGTTACTAATAAGTGCTGTCTATTTCATCTCACATTGTTCCCACCTACAATTTCTTTTGGGATTGTTCTCCTAATTTGTCTAGTTTGTTAAAATATTTTTTGTTATTATCCTCTTACTAACCAATTTTGCATTCTTTAATTTTTCTTTTTAACAAGTTACCCTTTCCTTACCATCTCTATTGCTCTCAAACACTTTTTCAGAGATATTGTCTGATTCCTCCCATTCATTCCTTCTTCCATTTCTGCTCTTCTCCCCTTAAAACTCTAAGTATCCAATTATTCATTCAACCACCACAAAACAAATTAGTAGAAGTACAACAACCCTCCCTTGCCTCATGGATAGAGCAACTCCCAGCTAGTGGAAACGTAAACATCACTCTTACCTTGAACTGGCACTGATTCATTTTAAAACCGCTACCAACCCTTGTATATAACCTGAACCACATTGTTTCTAAACAATGGATGAGGAAAAAGAAAGCAAGTTTACACCTTTGGCCAGCTGACTCACAAAGACATAAATTTTTCCCCCTGGAGAACTGAGGACCAGAGAGCCCCAGATGGCCAAGTGGAAAGAAATAAAAATATGTCCTTTTCTTTTTTTTTTTGGCAGGAGGACGAGCAATAGAAAGAAGTCAGATGTGAACATCTCACACTAAACACCAGACACAATATTTCTAAGATATATTCCATTATTCCCTACACTCCTCCTGTCCAATGATCCCAGCAACAGAGGAAGAGGAAAAAACGTCTCGCACAGTAAGTTAGAGGCTAAGTATGCATGTGTGTAAAGACCAGCTGCGAACCAGATGTCAGAGGCTATTTAGAGTTGAAAACATATAGACATACATGTTTCAACAAGCAAGCAGAACGAGTAGCCAACAAAGGACAGGAACCTCAACAATTTAGTCTTCTGAGGTGCTTGAAATAGCACTAGGTATATTTTATCCTTCCATTCCATGACCCAATCAGTTCTTTATTTTCACAAGACCTTACAATAAATCTATTATTGCAAGTGTTTGCTGCTAGGCCCTCAGGAGGGCTGGAAGAAGCCTCTATTATAGCATCATCTAGGGGGGACAGGAGGAAAAGCAGCCCACCACAATACAGCTGCTGCTCATGCAAAATAAACTGCACTTGAAGCACAGGATTCCTAGAGCCAGCAGCAGATCCAGTGAGTGGCAGCTCTCACATAAGAGGTAGGAACCAGAAGGAATATACATCAAAACTGAAGAACACTTGAAAATCCATGTTTGGCAAGAGGTCTTCCCACAAGGTGCTGAATAGCAGTAGTGAAAGGATTCCTCAGTTTGAATGGAAAACTCCTGGGGAACACTACCAGTGAAACAGGACTTCAGCTGTCAATCCTGTGCATTTATTATGCTCTCATAACACAGTCACTTGGAATTGCCTATCTACTGACTCAGATGAGTAGAATACCACTTCATATTGAGTTTATAACCACTGGAGACGAAAAAAAAAGTTTAGTTTCTTCACAGAGTTCTGCACAAGTAAGTGAGCAAAACCATGCACATACTTTCAAGACCTTATTTCTACTAATGGCAGGCAGCTCATTTAAGCCACCACTAAGAATACTTCTACTTTTCATATGAACTGGAATCAGGCAGACCTTCTGCCTCCCCGTGTTTTCAAAAGTAAATGATAAATGAAAAACTGTATCCTTCAAACACTCAATAAAATTACTATTTTCAGGTGTATCTCACAAAAGGATTCAGGCTACATATAGCACTAATGTTCACCTGTACATAGTAAAGATCAGTATTTTAATAGGTAAGAAAGCAGTATCTCTTTTGCCTTCTCTGATCTATCAAAATTTCTCTTTTAAAAACGCAACTTGTTTATAAACAAAGTTTTATAAGTAGTACGTCGTTATGTTGACATAAGAAAAACCTTGTAAAAGCCACAAACAAAAACTAAATTGACTCAGAAGTGCCCTTCCAAACTCTGAACAGGAACTCAAATAGATGCACGCTGTTCTATCCACCTCAAGAGGCAACCAGCTCTGAAGCCGAAACGAAGATAGCCTACTGATCCACCTAGGCAACCTTCCCTGCTCGCCCTTTCGGCGGGAATGTCGAACTCACATGCCAGGCCCTTGCCCCGGCCCCCTCTCGGGCACTGACACATACGGAGAACAACTCTGCGTACCTCAGCCGGGAGACCACCCGCCGCCAATGCGCTGCCAGCAGCGCACGGGCATCACTGCGGAGAACCAGGACCAAGCAGCACCACAGTCACTACGTTATTAGCGGCTCCTTTCATTAAGGCTCAAGAAAATGGGATTAAAGCCGTATACATCTGTTTCTTGACCAAGTCTCGCCGGGTCCCGCAAGGGTACCGAAACGCCGATAGAGGGTTTCGGTGCCGAGTACGGAGCGAACACAGGCGGTCCCGGGGCGCAGCTCCCCGGCGAGGAACCCGTCCCGGCTTTCCGTTACTCCCCGCCACACACACGAGGGGGGAGACCACGGAGGAGGAGAGTACAGGGACGGAGTGACAGTGGAGCAGTCAGCCAGCGTCACGGCACCGGCTATCGCGACAACGCGGCGCGGCAGAGTGGAAGCCGCCGCGGGCTGCTCCTCCTCAGCGGGAGAGCCGGGGGGAGCGCTGAGGCGGAATACCAGGAAAAGGGCTCGGGACACTGAGGCTACGGAGAGCAGTGGGGTGATGCCGGCAGGGGCTGGCACTGACCTTGCCAGTGGTCCCGTCCCCAAGCACCACTAGCTTGAGCTGGTGGTCCGGACTCTCCTCCTCCTCCGACTCCGACATGATCCCTACGCCCCCGACGGGGAAGGAGAAGAGGCGGAGGGCAGCCGGGAGGAACGGGGTGCGACAGCTAGGAGGGGAAGGGGGAAAGGAGCGCCGCGCTCACAGAGCCGGCAACACTGCAAAGGCCGAAACCGCCATCTTCCCTCAGCGCACCACCGTCGCTATGGCCCGCACGGGACGAAACCAACGAGAGACCAGAGAGAAGGGGGGAGAGGGTAGCTCGCAGGCGAGAGCTATAGCAACAAGTCCAACAGCCGGTACGGGCGCAAGGAGGAGGCACCCGCGAAGCCCTCACTTCTGTGTCCCCGTCCCGGTCCTCCCCAGCGGCTGGGCGAATGGTTCAACCCGGCTGTCTGCTGCGCGCAGCGATGGTTTGTCCCGAAGTGACGCCCTGCGCGGTAACTAGGGAGCGTGGAGGTCAGAGGGCGCGGGGCGGGGCGGGTTGGGTTGCCTGAGGGGGTCATTCTGCGCGGCTGTCCCAGCGCTGATCCGCCCGCGCTGAGGGCTCCGAGCGACGGATTGGGAGCGGGGCGGTCTCTCAGATTGGGAGCAGAGACCCGGCCGCCTGCGGCGTTTCCCCGGGGGGCTGCATTTCCGTGCTAGCTGCACCCGCCTCCATGACCAGGTCACGTTCAGCGCTGGGCTTCCGCGCGGCAGGAAGATATATTAGTGTTCTTAAAGAAGTGAGCTAACACTGAAAGCTCATAACGGTGGCAAGCACTGCACCGAGTCCTCATATCCCTAAGGTGCAGCACAGTCGTTCTTGCCTAAATTTCTCCTTAAACCATCCTACCCCACCAGATAGGGATGCCACTGCTTTCTTACATGGTCTACTTGGAACCTTTCTATCCATCCAATTAGTAAGAAAACTTGTCTACATAGCCCTAACTGAATTTTAAACCAATATTTTATTACACACATTGACCATGGAGAACAGCTTGTAACCTCCCCTTCCATTGCAGCCTTCCACATACTTGAATACTGTTAGCATGGCTTCAGTCTGTCTTTTCTGTAGACTAAACAACTCCTCTTCATTCAGTCTTTCCCTAGGTTGTCTTTTCTAGACTTCTGATTATTCTTGTTTCTTTCCTTTGGCATCTCTCCATTTACTTGAAGTGGTGTGCCAAGAACTGGATACAGTACTTTGGTTGAGGCCTTATGAGTGCTGAGTAGAGTGGAAGTATTACTTCATGTGTCTTACATATGAGACTCTTGTTTATATATCCCAGTATGATGTTTGCTTTCTTCACGGTATGACATTGCTGACTCATACTGTTTCTGATTTACTGAAACACCTGAATCCCCTCCTGTTATCAGAATTTCATACTCTTTCCCAGGTTTTATTCCTGCCTAACTGTAGTCCTGTATTGAATGTATTGTCCTGCTTGCCTGTATTGAATTTACTACTATATTTCAGGCTACTCACACAATTTGTCAGTGTAATTTTATTTATAATCTTTTTCTCCAAAATGCATGCTATCCCTTCCAACTCAGTTTTATCTGCAACCTTAAGAACTGTATTCTCTGTCCCAAAGTAATTCATAAAGATATCCAGTAGTACCAGATCTCAGCAATCCCCTGTTCAATGTATCTTTCCAACAAGTGATAACAGTTCTTTGGGCATAGTTTAAACAACTTGAACAAAAGAGACAGCTAGAACTCTTTAAAGTATAGACGTATTTTAATGGGTTCAATATCAAGCTAGGAATGTGTAGAACTTTGTGTAATGCCTGAATAAAAAAAAAAAAATTGTTCCTGTTTCAATCTCTTTCAGGTTTTCTTTTTGAAATGTGTGACAGAAATTTCCAGTATTACAAGTACACTGTTTCACTGAGTCCTCAGCAGGATCAAGATTCCTTATTACTCACATATTTGAGTGTTTGCAGAATTGAGGTCAAATGCTTTCCCAATGACATTCTGAAAAAAGGGGGGTGAAACAACAAAAAACAGAAAATACCTTAATTTCAAGTGGAAAACCAGACACACATCTTTGTGACTTTCTTCATACTTCAAAACAAATTATATGTGTTACTCATCAACTGTTTTCCACTTAAGATCATCTGGCCTAATTATACTGCAAGTTCTCTTAACTAGGGACTTCAGCAAGATCATCACCAGAGCTCAGCTGAACAGCATGTCTTGGAAGGAAGTGCAACAGGGCAAAAATGGAATTTTCCCTTATGATTTCTGACATACTGAACGGTTGTACAATTGGCATTAGACATTTAAAAGCTCCACATCTCACACCAGGCAGACTGATGATTGATAAACCACTGTTGAGGGAACTGTTCCTATTCCTGCCAATTCTGCCTCAATCACATTAAAAGAAAGAACATAAAAGATTAATTCAAATCTTCCCAATGCTTCTGGGGAGAAGCAGGATTCTATTCAACCCCCAAAACAAAAATTAGGAGTATTCAGGTTGCACACACAAAACCAGAATGATCAGAGAGCTAGGGGCTCCTGGTCTCAGGGCCACATGTATTCTCATTTGAAATGCAACAAAAAAAATGTGTGAGTTATAATACACATCCCCAAACTTAATTTTCTCCTTAGATTATAATATTTTTTTCTCCACAAATAACCCAAGCATATTAAAAGTTTAGAAAGTCATCATCTAAATGAGTGAACAATTTAGAAAGAACTGTTTCATCTTGAACACGGCATTTGCAGGCTTAAAGTTGCCTTGAGGCTGAGCAGCTGATCTGTTTAAATAAGCACTTACATATTAAGGCCTAATTTGGGAAATACAAAGATTACTTGCTGTGGATAAACATGCATATTTGCTATTGACTACCAAAAAGGGTGAATGGAAAATACCCCAGGAGACAGCATAGTAACATAATCAGACAGCTCAGCCCTCCAAGAGCCTCCTTGCAGTTGTTAATTGTAAAAAATCAGTGTACAAGATTAAAGCTGCCTGGTGGAGTTAATGCTTTAATTAGCAATAAAACCATCAAAACTACCATTATTTCACTTTATACTAGCACACAATCAGACTGCAAATCTGTATACATCTTATTTGTCAGTGTTCAGCAAGCACATTAACAGCATGGTATGGTTATTTTATGTGTAGTGGTACAGATCATTGGTACCACCACATCCCCTTTAGAGAGGTTTTCAAACTGTAATATTTTAGTCAGCACAATCTTCACTAGTTTGTTATGCGGTAAATATATGAATATAGCTATATGAATATAATATGTTCATACACCAAATATTAATTTTATAGATTAAAGGAAGCTAGTAATGAACTGCTTGATACTTTACAGGTAATGAAAATGTATTAAGCATGTTGAAAAGCGCTAGAATTAACAAACAGAACACACTGCAGTAATTTTTTTTTCTATTGATAGCAGTACCCAAATAATTTTAAACTCTTCTGCATTTTTAGAATACTAAGAAAAAAATCCTCAAGCACTGCCTTTGACTCGAGCTTTCACTGAAAAATTACTGTGTCACCCAATGGCACAGGAAACAACCATATTATTTAGTGGACATTCAGTTAGTTGCTATTTGCTCTGTTGGTTTTCATTATATTTTTTTTGTGAAGACATTTTACTAATAATCCACTGGTAGCTGATAATATTCTCAAGGATAGTGGGAATCTTTGTGAGTGTGTGATTTTTCTGGAGTATAGTATAAAGTTGAATTTCCTACATGCAAGTATCCACAGAAGAGCAAAAAACAATGACCTACATAGGAAGTAGCTGTATGCTTCTCCTAAGCTCTGAGAAAAGGTGTGAGTCAAGCTGAATAATGTGGGATTCTGGGCTGACAGGAAAGGGAATGGCATGTGTGAGGGCCTGCAAACTTTCTGCCATCCTCTTCAGGAATGCAGGGTCGTTAGCTAGGGAGGCATCTCTGCTGTCCTCTTCAGTGCTTGATGGAAACAACACATTTTTCACAGTGACTGACAGGAGCTGTGTCCTCTGTTACCAATAAAAACCACTCTTTTAACTTTTGCTCTGCTTTTTCTCCCCCTGTGCTTATGCAAACACGTGCACTTCTCTTTGTGTTTCATTCATACCAGTTTTTTATTTCAGGTCTCTGTAGCTGGGATCCATAGATGCTCCTCTTCTTCAGGATGGAAATTGCCATTATATCTGTTTGAACAAGGAAAGTGTCCTTGGAAAAGAAAAGCAAAACTATTGCCAAAAAAAAGTGGAATATGCATTAAAAAAAAAATTGAAGAGATTTACTTGCATTATTGTGTTGATTTTGCCACTCATCCCTGGAGCAGAGTAGAAAGCAGCTGTTACTTTTAATTGCACTGGAGTTTTGCAAATAAAACTCAAACTGTTTCTTCTTCATCAGTACCATCTCTAATGTCTTTACCAGATAGTCTTTTCTTCTGCATGGCTTGAGTGAGACTTGGTGATTAATGTGGTGGATTAGACTGACAACTGAGTGGAAATGTTAAATAATCACTTGTTTTTATACATGTAAAAAAAAAAACAGTTCCTACTCATTTTGGAAATCCTTGCTTTTTGAAAGGCATTCTTCCATCTTGCTTCCTTCTAATCTAAGGTCATTTAAGGAATAACTGCTTTAAATGCTCGTTGATTACAGTGATGTAAATGCCTCTGGCCCAGACGCTGCAGTGAGCAAGACTTTCCACACATGAATATGGTTAAGCCAAAGGCCGCAACTTTTATGAACTACATTGCCTAATAAAACAGGGAAGAACCGCTAGCCAGCTGTTCTCCACAAACTACACAGTAAAACAGGACCAGTGAGGTTCACTAAACATGGGACTGTGGAGGCCAAGCTAAATGTTTAAGAGAAGGCTAACCGCATCCACCCTCCCACAAAAGTGACCAAGGCTGGTGGTCCCAAGCAAAGTATCTCCTTCTACCCTGTCTGTGCTGGGGAGAGAAAAGTAAGTAGTAGCTTTTTCCTTTGTGTAAGGTGCTAAATTTTCCCTGCTAACCAACACCTGGCTAGTATTTAAGGCATGAACAGTAATTCTGGCCACAGCTAACATGTAAAACCCACACTGGAAACTTGCTCTCCAGTTGTGTGTATGCACAAACAAGTTCTCTGGTCTTTTCACTAGCTGAATTTACTAGTAAAGCCACACCACATCTTCAGTGTGGTAAACACTTTTTCTCACTGTGGAAGGAAAGTGCTAGCCAGCTCAGAGCAGAAAACCCAGCAACAGTCCGGGTAAATAACAACAGTTAAAGAAAGAGAAGGGGTCAAAGAGAGCTTCAGAACAAGAACTAATCTGTAAGAAAGGGCAACGGGAATTCACACAGAGTATATCTAACTTCTACTGAGAGCATCATGCAA